AAAAAATTTAAAGAAGTGTCAGTGCAGAATTGCATCTCTGGTTTACCCAGAGAACTACGGTGAAATGACGGCAGTTAAATGAAAGGTGAGAAGGGTTAACTAATTGACATAGGTTTAAATCTCTTTCAAATTAATTCCTCAAAACGACTAGGATGGGATGACTATTTACTCTCCTAATTATTTGTGCCTTCAATGCCTTAAAAGCTAACAACACTGAATAAATGAGCAATAGATCTCTACTCTCGAGTCTCAAATGAGATTACGAATGAACTATTTAAAGTGTCGGACAGGTATCTAAGAATATTGTTCTCTCTGAGGGCAGTCTTAAATTGCAACTTAAAATGGGCTTAAGTTGCCGGCAATGCAGAACAGGAGAGCTCGCATCGCTCTATAATCTATTAGTTACCTTTCTCAGTAAAAGCTTCGCTTCTTTTGCGTCTAGACATGGTCAAGCAGCATGTTTAAATTTGGTTCTCATTAGCCTAATAATAGATAAATCTTATGACCTTAAATCCCATTTATCAACCAGAGTTGTATGTGCTGTAATAATTTACTTACAGCACGCAATGGATCTTTATAGACAGAAAATAAAGCCTTATCTTAAAGGCGTCCTACTACTAGCTGTTACCAAAGAATGAATTTCATTTTCTGAGAAGGAGCGAAGGAACTAACAAGAGAGGGTTAAAGAGATTATTTTGCTGTTAATTGACGGTCGTAAAAACTAGCGAAGTCATTCTAAATCGTACAGAAACGACAGTTTTAAAGCTATGTCGCCCCAGCCCCACTGACCGACAAATGGATATGGTTTCAGGTAATGCTAACCGTGGTGATTGCAGAGTGGCAAAGTAAATAATTTGATTTTCTTACATATACAAACGAGTTTTAACACTGTAATGGATCTTTGCAATTACTCCTCCTATACAGTCTTTCATTACTGTTCTCTGAAACACTTTAGGCAGTAGATTAACGTTTGATTCTAAAACTCAATTGCAGCACGGCCATAGCTTTTTCATTATCCATAGGAAAAATTTATTTAGAAGTTGCTTTGAAGAACTCAGAATCTTAACAAATATGTTTCTGTCGGTCAGCCTTGCATGCTAATAAATCTCATCCTTATGCATTATCAATGTTACGCTCAACATCAAACTCCACTAAGATTCATTTCGATTGGCGAAATTGAATACAGATTGCTAAAGTCTTAAAAATTACCACAAACTAATTCAAAATCAGAGATAATCTAAACTCTGAGAAATATGACGTATTTGGAACAGCGGTGGACAAGCTTTTCATTCTTAGACAAGGCGGAAGCTATGGCTGTATTGACACAAATGAACAACTAAAGACATAGCCTTACGTGAAACTCTCGGTAAGGTAGAATTTCTTAGTGTAAATGAAACGCGAAAACCTTGTTTGAGACAGGGCGAGAAACGATAAACTAAAAGTGTATTAACAAATTTTAATTTGTGAAGGAAATACCTGAGCAAATAATAACTGATCTCTTCCAATTTGTCTTTGGAAGCAGCAATAAACGAGTC